GCCGGGACCGGGCCATTCCCAGCCGGGACCAGGCCACTCCCGCCGGGACCGGGCCATCGCCACCTGGAGCCCCCAAAACCCCCCCAAGGGCCATTTGCGGCTCGGCTCCGGACTCCTCCAACATCCAAAAACGTCCCTTCATCACATAATAACACCTCTCCCACGGACACACAAATCTGTTTGGGACTCCATTCCGAAATCCGCCCGGTCCCAACCCCCATCCCCCCCCCAAAAAAAATCCCAAACCCTCGGAGATGCGGCGAGAGATTTGGGGCGAGCTTCCCCTGCGGATGCGGGGCCACGCGGTGCTGCCGCGGCCGGCAGGAGCTCCGCGGGCTTCTCCTGCTCCTCCTCTTCCTGCTCCTCCTCTTCCTCTGTCCCTCTTCTTCCTCCCGCTCCCCCTCCGCCGCCTTCCCGGCCCCCCTTTCCCCCCGCTTTTCCCCCCCGCTCTGCCCCACCGGCTCTCGGCTGGGGGGGAGCCCCCCGTGAGCCCCCCGGGATGGGCAGGGGGGGCTCGGGGGCTGCCGGTTCCGATGCCGGCTGCCGTCCCGCTCCCCCCCGAGCCCGAGTTGCGCTCCCGGGGCTCTCGGGACAGCGGGGCTGGCGCAGCTCGGGGGGCAGCGGGGAGCGCTGGGCGCTGCCCGGGGAGTGGAGTCCCCGCTGGGGAAATGGCTCGGGGGGGCTCTGCCTGCAGCCGGGAAAGGCGCTGCGCTCCGCCGATCTGTTCCTTTTAATTAGCTGTCGCCAGGTTTATTTCTAATGAAGGCCTTAGCTTCTCTATGTGAAAAACGAGGTTCGCATAATTTTTATAGAATTTAAAAGTTTAAATAAAAAAAAAACTATTAGGAGAAAAAATAAAGTAAAGTATACAGATAGGGCCGGGTGTCTCTGCATTCACCTCACTAACAAAGGATTGTCCCTTAAAAACAGAACCCTACTACATATCCATAAATTCTCACACATATTCAGACATTCTCCTTAGGATCTTTGGTGTTCTTCTGTTTAGTTTTCTCTTGCCCCCTTCCCAATAGATCAATCTTCTTGGTGCCATTGAGATTTACATTCCCTGATACCAGAAATGCAATAAATTCCTCCCCCCAGAGTTCTGGGCACTGCTGTCTTCATCTGGATAAGATAGTTTACAAATGCAGGAGTTCTCTAGTTTGTTTTTTTTTTTTTTCTTCTCAGTCTTCAGGTTATACAAACAAAAGCAGTTTTTATTTTAATACTACGCCATAGCCTAACATATATGTATTATACCACTATTTCTAAATTTCATCAATAACAGAAATAAAGAAAACTATATTAATACAACAAAATTTCTCATTCTTATACACATAACATTCATTTTAATATTTGCGAAAAGCCAACAATATAAAATGTATCTATAACATCTAAAACCTTGAATTCTTCAAAGTTTGTGTCTCCTAGCCCCTGAGCCATGAGGGCCACAGAGGAGCCCCCGCTTTCCCAACTCCTTCCCAGACACGAGCCTGGGGGAGGCATCCAAGCCCAGCCTCACGCTGGCACTGCTTGAAGTGACTCTGTCCCGCAGCGCTGACAAACGGCCAACGTGATCCAGGCACAGACAGCGAATTATTCAGGAGGAGAAATGATCTGACACAAAGAACTCGATCCCGATCGTTCACCGCGGAGTCCAGAAGCCAAAGCTGCTCCTGGTGCTGGACAGAGTTAACAGGGTGCGCTTTATTAAAGCACGGACACAGAGAGGGTGGAACAAAGAGAAGGAAGGAGAAGAAGGGGATTTGCCCCCGTGCCAGAGGGAAGGGGATCCCCCAATCCTTCACTGTCTCCACGGCTCTCAGCGGCACCTGCCGAGCCCCAGCCACGGCTCATTTCTTTTCCTCTCCGACACCTCCTTCCTGCTTCTCCCCCTGGCATTTCTTGTTCGCTGAAACACACAGCGTGGGAAACCATGCGCGCTCTGCGCACCCCATTTTCGGTGAGCCCGAGGGATTGCAAGCTGCCAGGGGCTGATCTGTTCCCAAGGGAAAGTTTCTTGGGAAATCTCACACTCGAGGACAGCATTTGGAAATCATCTTGCTTTCTCCAAACAGTGCTGAATAGCTGCAGACAGCACGTTTTTCTCTTGTCCCAGCCATGGGACACGAGCTGGTGTTCCCTTCCCTCATCACGATAACCCTGTAGCGCGGGACCCTATAAAAGCTGAAAAGTTTGGAGAATAAAGGCCCCTTTTAGCAACTCGTGGTGTGTGCTGTGAACCCACTCTGATACACCGTGTCCAACAGCCACAGCGCTCCTCTCAGAGCAGAGTTTGAGTTCCTCTCCAGTTTTTAAGAGGTTTCATCAAGGACTAGAAAGGGAGAATCAGAAAGCAAAAGGTGCAGGTGCCCGCGTGCCTGGCACAGCCAGAACACACCCACTGCTTCAGTCTGCAGCCTTTTTTATACCTTGTCACCTGCCCCGGCACAGCTCCCTTGGGAAGCAGGGCAGAACCAGCACCTCGGGAGCCTTGGCAATTCCCCTCTTGGATCCATGGCACTTGCTGCAATGATGGGGAATCTGTTTCCACAGCACAACACCCCACGTCCCTCCCAAGAGCCCTCAGATCGCACAAACCCATCATCCCCCACATCCCCTGGAAGTTCATCCCATGTCCCCACCATGTCCCCATTCATGGCTCTCCATGTCTCCGCCATGTCCATGTCCATGTCCCTTGATGTCCCCACCCATGTCCATGTCCCCATTCATGGCTCTCCATGTCCCCACCCATATCCATGTCCCCACCCATATCCATGTCCCCACCATGTCCATGTCCCCACCATGTCCATGTCCCCACCATGTCCCCTTTCATGGCTCTCCATTTCCCCACCAATGTCCATGTCCCCATTCATGGCTCTCCATGTCCCCGCCATGTCCATGTCCGTGTCCCTTGATGTCCCCACCCATGTCCCTACCATGTCCCCATTCATGGCTCTCCATGTCCCCACCCATGTCCATGTCCCTTGATGTCCCCACCATGTCCATGTCCCCACCCACGTCCATGTCCCCACCATGTCCCCATTCCTGGCTTTCCATGTCCCCACCCATGTCCATGTCCCCACCATGTCCCCATTCCTGGCTTTCCATGTCCCCACCCATGTCCATGTCCCCATTCATGGCTCTCCATGTCCTCGTCCATGTCCATGTTCCCATTCCTGGCTCTTCATGTCCCCACCCATGTCCCTTGATGTCCCCATTCCTGGCTCTCCATGTCCCCATCCCTGTCCCTGTTCCCCCCTCAGATTCCTCTTCGTCTCCAGCCCCACCAGGACAGCTGTGGGTGGCTGCAGCTGGCGCTGACCCCGTGGGCGTGCAAGGGCTGGACCTGCCACACCGGCGCCTCCGCTGCCACCTGCAGCCGGATGCCACCGTTTTGTCCTGCACCACGGTGGCCAAGGTGGCCAGCAGTGACCATGGGCTCTTCTGGGGGCAGCTCTTCCAGCTGGCCCTGCTCCCCCGGCTCTGCACCCTCACTCTGGCCATGTGCTGACCAGCCAGGGCTGCCAGTGGCTGCTGTCACCGTCCCACCGGCTGTGCTGGTGGTGGCCCCGCAGCCCCTGGAGCGCCGGTGCTGTGTTCGGGGACTACAGGATCATGTCCAGGGATGCTCCAGTGAGCAGGAACCAGCATGGGACACCAACGGGACGGGCTCTGCTCAGGAAACCATTTATTCAGCAGGAACAAACTCAGATCCAGAGACAGAGAGCACTGAAGAGAGGCTGGGTGATGGGTTTTGTGGGACAGAACCAGGGTGGAGTTCAAGGTCGGGGACTTTTAGGAACACAGCAAGGGAGAAACCTCAGGAGCTCAAACCCAATCAGAACCAGGCAGGTCCTACAGAAGATCGGGAGGATCAGGAGGAGCTGGGGCTGCGCTGCCACCTCAAATATTTCTTTGTGGGTCCCCGTGACAAACACCGGGCCCACTCGGGCTGCAGATCGCTCATCCTTGTCACGGTCCAGGTGACACCAGGGCAGCAGGGACACCAGGCATGGGGGGCTGTGACAGGGGGAAGAGGGCACGGGGACACGGGGACACCAGGGACAGCAGGTAGAGGGGGCACAGGGACATCAGGGACAGGGCACAGGGACATCTGGGGCATTGGGAAGGTGGTGTCAGGACACAGGGGAGGGGGCACACGGACACGAGGTGGGGTCAGAGGGACATCAGGGAAGCAGAGGGACATGGGGACATTGGGGAGGGGGTGTCAGGACATGGAGGAGGGGACCCAGTGACACCATGGAGAGCATCTCTTGGAGGGGGAGGGGTGTTTTGGGTTCCCCTGGGGACACATCGCCGGGGTCTGGACACTACAGTGGCCCCAAAAGAGGGGACAGCCAGACCGTGTCCCCTTGGGGGGGGATGGGAACGCTCACCAGGCTCGGAGGAGACTGACATGTGACATACCCCTACCCCACCACAAGGCCCCTTTTCCTGTGTCCCCCCCACAGTGTCACCTGCTGTCACCTGGAGCCACCCGTGCCCTCACCCTGCTATTGAATAGCGCTGTTAATTAATTAGAGTTAATTATTGGGAGAGCCCCAAGGAGGATGATGAAGTTCAGAGTCTCAGGTGTTCCTGGGGCATTTGGGGACAATGGGGGGACATGAGCATCCCCAAGGAGATTCCCCCTCATCTCCCATGGGACACCCGTGTCCCTGAGATTGTTCCGGACGCGCCAGGCCAGGAGCCGCTTCGGCTGTGCCGTACCCGGGGCTGGCCGGTCTCTGGGGGGACCCAGCAGAGCCTGTGTCTCCTCCTTGGTCCAGTGTCATCCCCTGTCCCGGTGTCCCCCTACCCGCTCCACAGTGTCCCCGTGTCCCCCTGTGTCATCCCCTGTCCCAGTGTCCCCCTACCCGCTCCACAGTGTCCCCATGTCCCCCTGTGTCATCCCCTGTCCCCCCCGCCCAATCCCCAGCTCCTCCCCGCCCCCATGTCTCCTCTGTCCCATCCTGTTCCGATTCCTGGTGGCCCTGTCCCCCCATCCCGGACACCCCCTTCCCTCAGTGTGACTCCCCTCCCCCCCAGTCCCCGGTACCTCCCATTCCTGTGTCTTGGCCCCATTCCCATTGCAGCCTCCGATCCCAGTCCCATTCCCGATCCCTATTCCCATTCTTGATCCCAATCCCAGTCCCATTCCCATTCCCTATCCCACATTCCTGTTCCCATTCTGTCATTCCTTATCTCATTCCCAGTCCCATTTCCGATCCCTATTCCCATTCTCGATCCCAATCCCAGTCCCGTTTCCATTCCCTATCCCACACTCCTGTATCTTATTCCCATTCCCAGTCCTGTTCCCATTCCCCTATTCCCTATTCCATTCCCAGTCCTTTTCCCATTCTCCCATTCCCAGTCCCAGTCCTATTCCCATTCCCCATTTTGTTATCCCATTTCCGGCCCTTTCCCCATTCCCCCATTTCCAATCCCAGTCCTGTTCCCATTCTGTATCCCACATGCCTGTTCCCATTCCGCCATTCCCTATCTCATTCCCAGTCCTTTTCCCATTCTCCCATTCCTAGTCCCATTCCCATTCCCCTATTCCCTATCCCATTCCCGGTCCTATTCCCATTTTCCCATTCCCGGTCCCATTCCCATTCCCCTATTCCCTATTCCATTCCCGGTCCTATTCCCATTCCTCCATTCCCGGTCCCGGTCCTATTCTCATTCCCCTATTCCCAATCCTATTCCCGGTCTCATTCCCATTCCCCTATTCCCTATTCCATTCCCGGTCCTATTCCCATTCCTCCATTCCCGGTCCTTTTCCCATTGCCCTATTCCCTATCCCATTCCCGGTCCATTTTCCATTTCCCATTCCTCCATTCCTCCATTCCTCCATTCCTCCATTCCTCCATTCCTCCATTCCTCCATTCCTCCATTCCTCCATTCCTCCATTCCTCCATTCCTCCCGTCCCGTTCCCATTCCCGGCCCCGCCCACCGACGCGCCCTCACGTGACAATAAACCACAGTCCTGGCCCCGCCCACCTCCCGTGCGCACCAATCACCGCGCCCGACCGCTCTCTGATTTGCATGGCCACGCCCCGAATAGACCGCACTGTTGTTGACCACGGCCACGCCTCTGCCCACGCCCACGCCCGGGAGACCACGCCCACCTGGAGTTCCCGCCCAGTTCCCGCCCGGTTCCCGCGCGCTCCTTCCGCTGTTCCCACGCGCTCCTTGCCCTGGAGCGGGTCCGGAGCTGGGTCCGCCCCGTCCTTCTCCATCCCGGCCGTGCTGCGGGGCAGGGGGAGCCCAGCTCCTGCCAGAGGGGCTCTCCCGGCACCGCGCGGAGCGGGGAACAGCGCGGCGGATTCCGGGGTACGGGAGGCGGCCCGGCGGGGGCCACGGGGCGAGTGCGGGAGCACGTGGCGATGGCCCGGTCCCGGCAGGAATGGCCCGGTCCCGGCGGGAATGGCCCGGTCCCGGCGGGAATGGCCCGGTCCCGGCTGGGAATGGCCCGGTCCCGGCGGGAATGGCCCGGTCCCGGCTGGGAATGGCCCGGTCCCGGCTGGGAATGGCCCGGTCCCGGCTGGGAATGGCCCGGTCCCGGCGGGAATGGCCCGGTCCCGGCGAGAGTGGCCCGGTCCCGGCGGGAATGGCCGGTCCCGGCGGGAATGGCCCGGTCCCGGCTGGGAATGGCCCGGTCCCGGCGGGAATGGCCCGGTCCCGGCGGGAATGGCCGGTCCCGGCGGGGAATGAAGCGCGGGAGCCCCGGCGTGGGGAGAGGGGCGAGAGCAGAGCTGGGGGAGCTGCGGCAGCCTGGAGGGGCGGTGGGGCCTGGAGATGAGTGGGGTCCGGGTCGGCCGAAGCTCGGAGCGCTGTCGGGGAGGGGAAGGCGTGAGTGGCTGGAGTGGGGGATGCTGAAGAAGGGAGCCCGGGAGCCCCGGGAGCCGAGGCAGAATCGGGGGAGGATGAGCCCTGGCAGCTCCGACACCCCCTGAGCATGGCTGAGCAGGAGCCGGGGGAGGGGGCGTCCCCAGGAGCCACGGGACCCCCAAAGGAAGGGCTCTGGAAGGGGGGAACTGCCGGGAGAGTTTCTTTGGCCTCCTGCTTTACGTTTGGGGATTTTTCTGGGCACCAGAGCCGCGGTGATCTCTGGAGATGGATTTGGGCAGTGGGACCTTCAAAAGCCAAGGTACTCACACCTTGTTTTTCCCCCAGACCAGGATTTCTCATTCCCAAACCTTGGCCAGATGGAGGAGGACGAGGCTGTGAGGAAGAGGAAGATGTCCCAGGACAGCCAGGCAGGTGAGGAGGAAGTCAGTGCCCCTTTCCCTCTCTCTCCTGCTCCATCTCCCAGCCCAGCCTGGCCCCCGGCTGCAGGACAACCCCGCTGCCGACGCCGTCCTGCCGGGGACGCACTGGGGGGATCTCCTTCCCCTTCCCTCTGGCACGGAGGCAAATCCCATCCTCTCCTTGTCCTTCCTCCCCCAGACAAGGAGCTGAGGATGGAGACCAGGGAGGACAAATCCCCACGGCAGAACCTCGTGGAAGAGGCCGTTTTGAGCAGCTCCACGGCACAGGAGTCCAACGGGGAGGAAAAGCCGCGGAGATCCCTCAGGAGGAGGGGTTCCAAAGCCAGCCCAGGGTGCTCTGAGGAGGAAAGACCCACCCTGAGCCGGGAAGGTGGCCAGAGATGTGGCCAGAGCTCTGAGCTGGTGGTCCGTGAGAAGCTCCAGGATGGGGAGAAGCCCCACCAGTGCTTGGAGTGTGGGAGGAGTTTCTTCACAAGGTCCCGCCTGCTCCGCCACCAGATGATCCACACGGGGGAACGGCCCTATGAGTGTGGGAAATGTGGGAAGGGCTTCAGAGACACCTCGGATCTGCTCTGCCACCAGACCGTCCACACCGGGGAACGTCCCTATGAATGTGGGGAGTGTGGGAAGGGCTTCAGCGTCAGCTCCCACCTGACTGTCCACCAGAGGATCCACACCGGGGCACGGCCCTACGAATGTGGGGAATGTGGGAAGAACTTCAGCATCGGCTCTGAGCTGAGAGTCCACCAGATGATCCACACTGGGGAATGGCCCTACGAATGTGGGGAATGTGGAAAGAACTTCAGCATCAGCTCCAGTTTGATCCGCCACCGGATGATCCACACCGGGGAACGGCCCTACCAGTGTGAGGAATGTGGGAAGGGCTTCAGGAGGAGCTCCCACTTGGTCAGGCACCAGATGACCCACACTGGGGTGCGACCCTATGTGTGTAGGGAATGTGGGAAGGGCTTCCGTGACAGCACTGACCTGATCATCCACCAGTCATTGCACACCGGGGAATGTCCCTACAAGTGCTCCGAGTGTGGGAAGAGCTTCACCCAGCGCTCCAACCTGATCATCCACCAGAGGAGCCACACCGGGGAGAAGCCCTACACGTGCTCAGAATGTGGGAAAAGCTTCTCCCAGCGCTCCAACCTGATCACCCACCAGAGGGTCCACACTGGGGAGAGGCCCTACAAGTGCTCAGAGTGTGGGAAGAGATTCACCCAGAGCTCCTACCTGAACATCCACCAGAAGATCCACACCAGGGAGAGGCCCCACAAGTGCTCACAATGTGAGAAGAGCTTCATCTATCGCTCCAGGCTTATCGCCCACCAGTGCACCCACGCCATGGAGGGACCCTAACAGTGTCCCCAGTGTGGGCAGAGCTTCTCCCAGAGCTCTACCGTGAGCCAACAGCAAGGGAGGCCCCGGTAAGGGAAGCCCTGCGCGTGCCCCGCATGCGGGAAGAGCTTCGTGCGCTGCCCCAGCTCCATCCTCCTCTGGATGATCCCCAGTGAGCCTCGCTGGGCAGGGACTCGGTGATCCGTGCTCCTGGTGATCCGTGCTGGGAAGACACCAGGCTGGTGTCCACATCTTCCTGGCTCCCTGTGCTCACCTGGATGCAACAGGAGCTCAAGGGAGCACGGCCATGGACAGTGACACGGGGAGCCACGGACATGGGTGGGGACATGTGGAACCATGAATGGGGACATGATGGGGACATGGACATGTGTGGGGCATCAGAGGACATGGACATGGGTGGGGACACGGGGAGCCATGAATGGGGACACGGACATGGGTGGGGACACGGAGAGCCGTGAATGGGGACATGATGGGGACATGGAGAGCCATGAATGGGGACAGGGACATGGGTGGGGACATGGGGAGCCATGAATGGGGACAGGGACATGGGTGGGGACATGGAGAGTCATGAATGGGGACACAGTGGGGACATGGGACATGGGATGAAATTCCAGGGGATGTGGGGGATGATGGGTTTGTATTCACATCAGCCCTGTGCTGCTAATAAACACTTTTTAACCCTAAAACGTTTAGAGAGTTTGTCTGTCCCCGCTGGATATCGATACTGGATCATATCCATGTTTTGGTAAATCAGCTGTGCTGCTCTGGGGGCCTCTGAAGCTGCCACTGCAGCAGGGACAGATGTCCCCCAAGGAGCTTGTGCTGGTGACATCAGGGGTCTTGAGCAGGCTGGAGGCAGCCCTGGATGTCCCCATGGAGCCCCTGGGGCTGCTGGTGAGCTCAGTGTTCCTCTGAGCATACTGGGATGTGACAATGGCACCTGTGTGACCATCTGTGACACCTCTTCAGCCTGGCGGGCTCTGGGATGTGACAATGGCACCTGTGTGACCATCTGTGACACCTCTTCT